CAGAGTCCTGTCGACATATGGGTTGTTCGAGTGGTTCACCGGTCGAGTAGGAAGCTTCTAGACCGGGCTATCCTTATGTGGCTATATCAAATATATACTATATGTCAAATTATAATATATACTATATGTCAAATTATAATATATATGTATATACAATATACTAAAAAATCTTGATGTTGAAGGATAAGAACAAAAGTTGTGCAAAAATATCAGCGATAGCCTAGCGCGGCCTAATGGTAACGAGGTGCTCCCAGAGATAACAGACTCACTTGAACTCGGGTTCGAGTCCCGAATCTGGGATCCTCGCTACATTTTTTTTTTTTATTTATAAAACGGATTTGAATAATTATTTATAAAACGGATTCGTCTAATCCGTTTTTCAAATAAATATTTTTTATATGTTTATATGTTATAGTTTATAATTTATATAGTTTATATGTTTATGTGTTATATGTTATACTTTATAGTTTATATGTTATACTTTATACTTATATGTTTATATGTTTATATGCTTATACGTTATAGTTTATAATTTATATAGTTTATATGTTTATGTGTTATATGTTATACTTTATAGTTTATATGTTATACTTTATACTTTATATGTTTATATGTTTATATGTAATGATATATAATATAATATATACTATATAATATATACTATATACTATATATATAATATATACTATATAGTATATACTCTATAGTATATAACATATATATATACTATATAATATATATGTATATATATACTATATAATATATATATATACTATATACTATATAATATAATTTATATAGTTTATAGTTTATATGTTATACTTTATAGTTTATATGTTTATACTATAAAAAATCCTGATGTTGAAGGATAAGAAAAAAAGTTGTGCAAAAATATCAACGATAGCCTAGCGCGGCCTTATGGTAACGAGGTGCCCCAGAGATAACGGACTCACTCGAACCCGAGTTCGAGTCCCGAATCTGGGATCCTCTTACCATTTTTTTCGCATTTATAAAACGGATTCACCAAATCCGTTTTTTAAATAATTAAAAGCATAAAACGGATTCAATGAATCCATTTTACAAATAAATAAAACCAAAAAACGGATTCAGTAAATCCGTTTTACAAATAAATAAAACAAAAAAAAATTCCTCTTCTTCCCTACGCGAACAGAAACCAAACACAGAGAGAAGAGAGAAAGAAAGAAAGAGCGAGCGATTTGAGTTCTGGAAGAAAAAAAAAAAAATTCGCCCGTCGCCGCCTGCTGCGACGTCGCCGCCTACTGCACTGCCACCGCGCCCCCTTCCCGTCTATTAGGTACGTTTCTTCTATTAGTCTTTCATTTTTTCAATTGTTTCAAGAATTTCGAATTAGGGCTAAATTTAGGGTTTTTAATTGGATTGAGTTATGGATTGAAATATGTTGATGGATTGTTTGATTATATATGTTTGATGATAAATTGATTGGTTATTTGGAAATTGATTAGGATTTTGTAGTTTGTTTGGAAATATATGATTTGAACGTATTCGATAAAATGCCTCAAAGGGATTGTTGTACATATTGTTGACATATTGTGAATTTGTGATGATTGTGATGAGGTGAATTTAGTTGTGAATTTATATAATATGTTTAGGGATTATTTTGTCGGAAGTTGAATTGTTGGAGTCGAATTTTCGATTAAAGATTATTTTCGAATTATTGTGTATATGATTTTTAAATTTGTGAATTTATTGTTTGTTTCATTTATTTGTGTTTTTGTGATTTTTTTTTTGTGAATATAATTGTATTATTGTAATTTGATTAATTATTATTATTATTTTTTTTGTAGTATGTAGTATATTATAATGATTGTTTTTCTTTTTTGGCAGACAATGGCATCTTCGTCGTCCTCACAACTGCAACGCTTCAATGTACATCCCGGTCCGAGAGATCCATCTGTTCTATATCTTCAGTACTGCCACCGGTCGAGTGATTTGTTTGAAGATATAGGCGGATGTCGTGACGGCGTCATTAAACCCCGCCGTTTTGACACTCGGTTCTGGAAGGCGTTGGATCACCAGCATCCCAGAGTTTGGGATGCCATCGAGAGGACGGGGTTTGGCCCGCTGTTTCGAATGGGCAGAGTCATGACTGACAACAGCCTCGTAACGTGTCTAGTGGAAAGGTGGCGACCGGAGACGCATACCTTCCACTTTGACTTCGGGGAGGCCACCATCACGCTGCAGGACTACAAGTCCTTTTTGGTCTCCCGATCGATGGAGAGCCTTGTTGGGGAGAGACTCAAGATAACACGCCCCTTAAATGACAAGAAATTTGTAATGATGAGCTAGGGTTCGAGCCCTATGTTCGGGTAAATTTTTTCTTACATTTTTTTTTAATTTATTTATGTTTACTCCATTCACTAATTTAATATATATAAACCACTCTCAGAATGCCGAGGAACCGGTTCAAGACCCCAGGACTTGGGCCATTACAGGCCAGTATTTGAAGGCCTATGCGTTAGAAGAGGAGTGCAACCGACAACTAGCCGATGGAGAGAATTGCTTCACCTACGAGTCGAGGGCGAAGGCCCTTATACTCTGGTGCATCGGTTGCTTCTTCTTCCCTGACAAGAGGGGCAATGGAGTGNTTTTACTGTGATATTTAAGGTGGGTGGGAAGGAGGAGCACAACACACCTGGGCAAGGGAACAGCCACCACCCGGGATCAATTGATAGGGCTCATAGAGACGGATGTAAGATTATTATTATTATTTTTATTTGTTGTTTGTTATAAATTCTTTTATAACTTAATTCCTAATTAATTTTTATTTTTTATTTTTTATTTTTCAGTTCGAATGACTACCCTATCAGTGGCACCTGCAAGGGAATGCTCTCCCGGCCCAGTGTACAGAAGGTTCACACCTCTGGATGTATAGGGGGTGGATCTTCAACTGGAACGTCCGTGAAATCCATATGCCTGATAGGGTCCTCCGTCAGTTCGGGTGTCGGCAGTCCACCCCCGAACCTGCTATCATTCCGACTGAGACCGAATATCAGAGACACCATCGAGGCCAGGGAATGACCGGGAGGGCAGTTTTTGACTGGGTTATATTTCACGGAGAGCTTGGGAATGCTTGGGTCGAACATAGAGACGAAAATGTCATCCCAACATTCCCTGTGGAGTTATTCATTGACCCTGAGACGGGTTACCTTGATTGGTTTCACAGTATCACTGTGAGACTACTCGGTGACCCTGCCAAGTACGCGGTGGTCCAACCGGACAGAGGCTTTCGCCCACTTGCCGAGCAGGGTAAGTGCGACGTAAGTAATATATATTTCTGTTTTTTATTCTATTATTATTATTATTATTATTATTATTATTATTATTATTATTATTATTATTATTATTATTATTATTTTTGTTTGTGTTTCATATAATTGACTTTGAATTTTAATTTTCAGGCTACCGCCATGGAGGGAGCATATCACACGTTAACGAATGTTGACCACCTCTTTCATACACTCCCTCCAGAGGTGCAGACCGCAGTCTTACAGGCCAAGAGCCTTCTCTACAGTTCTATGACTGTCGGAGGCGGAGATGTCGCACAAGGGCCGTCGTCGAGCCAAGTTCTAACGGAGAAGAGCTACGTCCGATCCCAGAGGATGCAGTCACACCGGGCGAGGCATCAACCTGCTGCCAACATTGATGGAGGTAGAAGACGACGCGACCGCCAACCCGCTGCCGATAACGGGCCTCAGGAAGAGGAAGAAGGTGAAAATTTTTAACTTCACAAAAAAAATAAATTTATTTATTTTATTTATTTAGTTATTGTGATTTTTAAAAAAAATTATTTATTCAGGTGAAGAAGAACAAGAAGAAGAAGAACCAGTCACGCCACAACATCGTCTTCTTCACGACGACCACAACGTCGGATCAGCCAACGACAACGCAATCCTACGAATCGATACACTCCGAATTAGTTTGTATTGTATTCAGGGAATTTTGTGAACATATGTGTTAATTTTCTTTTCATTTTGTATACTCATATTTGTGTTTTGAATAAATTATTGTCGTTGAGTTTTTGTATTTATTGTATGTTGGATTATTTTGGGCGAATTGATTCATATTAGTTGCTTGAACAGGTTGTGATTTGTTGAACAGGTTGTGAAATGGATCCAAAAAAATATTTTGCATTTTTCTGCAGAGAATAGAATCCGTTTTATGAAGAATTAGGGCAAAATTAGGTCAAAATTAGGGCAAAATCAATTTTCGGTAGAAAAATTACACAGAAAACGTATTTGACAAATACGTTTTATATTTCTAAAATTATTTTCCGTAGAAAATTTATTTTTAATAATTTTAATTTTTTTTTTAAAAAAACGTATAAAAATAATCCGTTTTATAATTAATAAAATAATTATAATTATAAAACAGGATTAAAATAATACGTTTTTTATTTAATATAATTAACTTAATTACATTAATTATGTTAGTTAATTATTTTTTAGTAAAACGGATAACTTTAATACATTTTACTTAAAAAAACGTATTCAAGAAATTCGTTTTTAAAAAAAAACGAATTTATACAATACGTCCTTTTTATTTTTTTGTACTCCTTTTTTTTTGTCTAATTATTTTTTTTAAATAAATAAATAATTCTTATCATTTCGGTGATATAACCAATTGTAGGTGGCAAGAGGGTCGATTTTTTTTCCCCCTTTTATTTGTTTTCTGAATAAAAAGCCAAAACCAAAAATAGACTTCTTGGGGAACGAGATAACTATGTTCCTAATAGATTTCGGTATTTGTTTTAAAAGTCTAAAATTGTGACACAAAACAATTTTAGGCTAATTATTTTCCTAATCTCACAAGATAACTTCTTTATTCAATTATATAAGTAAGCATAAACAATTGGTGATCTATACTATACCACATCCATTCATTCACATCTGGTGATACGAAATTGAGAAATATAAATATAGGGAAAGAGCGAAACTGCGAAAGCAAAAGAATAATATCCAATGGAAAACCCTAACCTCGACGGCGCCGCTCAAACACCCCCATCCAATCCATCCAATTCCTTCCGATTCGCGCCGTCGTTCTCCAACATTAACTTGCAACGGATGGCAACAAAGGTTGCGTACTTGCCGGAGTCGGTCAAGTCCGATCTGATCACCGAGGCTGCGGCTAATCACTATTCCGTACTGTTTGATCTCCGCAAACTCATCTCCCGACCTTACCGCCAAACACCGCTGGTGTTTCCCCGAAGCCTCTCCGAGGTGCCCGAACGGGTGGCGGAGCTTGGACGTGTGGTGGCCCGGGACGAGAGTAGGAAAATCTACGTCCATATTCTGAGTGGTGAGACGAGTATGAACAACCTATATGGTGCTGTTAGGGAATTTGGGGATGTTGAAGCGCTGGGATTTCGTTGGTCTACCACTCTAGCTACGGTCAAGTATTTCGATCTCCAGGCGGCAAGACGAGCCATCAAAACACCTGTTGAGGTTATGAACAGGCATCACCTCCGATGGCACTCGCTCACCACGGTTTGCTCTATCTGCCAGAGGGGCGGTTTGTGATGGATGGAAGTTTCTCATCATTATTTTATATTATTTGTTATAGATTTGAATATTGTTGATATGATTAGCTAGAGATTAGAATTAGCACAGTGGTCAGTGGGTGTTGTTTATTTCATCTTAATGGAACAGGATGTAATAGTGGTTCATGCAACTAGATAGAGGTGTTGATGTATTGTGCTTCTTCTCACCCCAACCTTATTGTAAATAATCCACAATCACAACTCCTCCAGCAGGTACAAAATCCTCCTTTCCTCCATCTTCCTCGAGGGGAACCGGCCAGCTGACTTCCTCGCTGGCATCAGGTCCTCTACCCCCCAGACACGCATTCTTTACCCTGACGATATTCCTCTCCGCCTCCGCACCATACGGATGGACTAGATGGGATATCCTTCATTCAGATTTGTGTAGCCGCTCCTACCTTTTGGCGCATCTGCCACACTGTGATGCTGGCGTTTTCGCCGAGACTCTCCCTGGACCAGGATCTGTTATTTTTGTATTTCTCGCTGCAGTTGCCAGCTTCTCCTCGTATTTTTTCTTGCTTTTGTTTTTTGGTTTTTCGTTTGACTTGATGTATATCAGACATTAGACTTGTAGCTTTGTGACTTTTCAGCCCATTTAGGGTATTTTTATATACAGGTTGGGGGTTCGGCCTTAACCCCCCACCCTCCTGGGGTGTTGTTTGTTTAAAAAAAAAAAATGAGTCAACTTTTTCTTTAATTTTGTTTTTCTTGGGGGAAAATGTTTATGTACACACTTTGAAGGGGTAACTATTTTGTGTTCATTTCTGCAAGTTTTAGTTTCATCATCAACTGTGGGATCTTTAAAAATTTGTATTTTATTTGAAGAAAATGCCAAGAAAGATACAAGAATCCAAGAGGAAGAAACTTGGCCATGATGCGAGTCTTGTCACATTGCCGGAATGCAATTTGTCATGCCAAATGAGCAAATTGTTTCTTCACATGTAAATCGCTATCTAGTTCATTTGCATTCTCATTGATAGTATTTTGATTCAACTTTGGATAACTATATAGCTATAAAAATTTATACTTGCACTAAAAGGGGTCGTTGCGAAGTTGTGTTGTCAGACAATCACAAGGGTGACATCTTGAGGCTGCTCCATATCTACAAGAAGTGGGTTCATTGCATTTACACTGTTAAAGGTACCACCTTTCTCTAGTTAGTTTCGATTAGTATTTGAAGTTTTCTGAACTTATGTATTTTTTTTTTTTTTGGTGAACTTTTTGTGTTGTCAAAGGTGATGGTTCTGGATCATTTATACTTCAGAAGCTCTATCTAGATACTGCAAATGCCAAGAGAAAATTCGCCAAGTACTCCATTGCACTTCAACTTCTGGAACTAGAGGATCTTGTTGAAGGAGTTGAATGTTGAATCTAAACTCCCCATTAACTCGTCTTTGTTGTCGCTTGATTTGGATGTTTTGTGTGAGATATTGTTTTGTTATCATCTATACTCCATAGGATTTCAGCTAAGTGTGTGTGTGTGTGTGTGTTTTCCCTGAGGTTGCTAAGGGAGAGAAGTTACAGTTGTAAATGGAATTGTGTATTCCCATGCGAAATGATGTTTGTGTATATTATGACTATCGATTTTTCTATGAGGGCTTATTGATTATTTATTTACCTACCCAAACTATGAAGACATGCGTTTATACTGTACAAAAAAAATTTCATTTGGGATCTTAAGATATATTTTCATCCTTTATATTGCAACAAAGGAATTTTTTCATTCGGGATCTTAAGATATTTTGCATCCTTTACATTGCAGCACAACGTACTTCATCTTTCAGGTGGCTTTCCTGTGGTCTCTTTGATTCTGTAGCTAAAAGCTTACAATCTTTCAGGTGGTTTTCTTATGGTCTCTTTCATTCTGTAGCTAAAAGCTTACAATATGCTATGACGTATCGTGTATTGAATACATATAATGACCTTGCTCCATAATTTCAGATCAGATGCCTTGTCACTACTGTCTCACTATTGCAAATGATAATGCCCTTACTTTTATGTTTTGATGGCTAAATTTTACGACATAGTTTGGGTTTTGTTATGGTCTTGGAGTAGACTAGTTTGATGTGTTGATAATATTTTCAACTTCTTGTGATTTGAGTTGGGTTGACTATACCATATAAAAAAAAAAAGAGAGAAATAGGTCAAATGCAATAACTTAACAGCGGCTCTAATATAGTTATTATATTGAACCAAACTTGATCTCAATAGAGCTCTCCACAAAAATCTAAGATATACAAACCCTTCATATCCACATCATGCATGCTAAAGTTGTCACCTTAAAGATGCTTGGATTCAAACCACCTTCGCAGCATTGGCCGGTCAAGCAAAACTACAAGGCCACGATATTAATACAAGCAAAAGTCGACATGAAATAAAAATGAAAAAAAAAGGAAAAAAAGGTAAAAACACACAAACACATATTTCAGAAACTATTTAATTGAGTGAGCATAGAAAAGAGCTCGTCGTTGGAGGTCGATCAGAAGTCCGACAGGCAACCAATAGCAATTCTTAAAGCCATTAGCATCTCATCTTGTTCGACTTGTTGCCCAACCAGGATATTCTTGTTTAGTGCTTCTCGAGTTCACGTTTTTGCTGCATTTACCTAAGACATTCTTCCATGTTACTAAAGGATGTGTCGTTCGGGTCCATTCCGGTTAATACAACACCCAATATCATCCCAAAGCTATAAATGTCGCTTTTATCAGTGTACCTAATGAATAATCACACTATTACATAAATAATGATTATTCATAACAAACTACCAGGGGAAAAACGATCTCCAATAGTTCCAAAATGTTTTGCCCATGGAAATTCGAGAAACGAATTGGATTTGCTTGCAAAGTGTTCCTTTACGTTTATTTGGCTTTCTCCATGAAGTTAGTTTCTTCAAGAATAGTTTTTACCATCATCAGGCATATTCAGAGTTCAAGCAACTCAATAATTGTCTTCAAGAACTGATAAAGCATTAAATCTATTGATAGCAGCTACTAATGTATACCTATGAAAATATAAGCACAAGTGAAAGCAGCTAACAAATACTAATAGACAATTGATATTCTTGATACCTTCAATTAAAACTACATAACAATAACCTATTTTTCATACTCAGGAAACTTGCATTCACCATTTCTGGTGTTCTTAAAACATTATGGTGGATTGAAGCCCGATGATGCTCGAACAAAGATTGGAAAGATCGTAACTAATCTACAGTCAGCCAACCTTGGCTCGAACTCGGAATCCATGATCAAATTCGAGAGCTTCAAGTTATAGTGTAATCTTCTGGGATCACAAGAAAGGTGCAGATAATTCAGCCCTTTATTAATCCCAACAGTTATCCGAATACGGAATTCTCACTTAAGCTTCAACTGATTTTCGGTCACTCTTTTCATCACATCCTCGAGACTTCCTATCGGCACATAATCATAAACCAATGAGTAAACACCCGATTCAAACACATAAGCCCTCAGACTCATTAAATTCCTATGCCTCAGGCATGCCAGTTTCCCGAGCTCATGCAGCATCTTTCGCTTGCTGTGGGCCTCAGAAGATGCGCTGGGAAAGGGGCCGAGTCTTTTTGATGCAGAAAAGCCTGTGATGGGAGAACAAAGAACACGAAGAAACCATTTTTCTTTTCTAATTCAATTCATAAAATCATAACTCGCCATACATGATATCATACGTACATATTTATAATCTCACCAAGTCCTCTCCACTTAAACTTAAAAGCCCACATAATACAAGCCCAACACAATATAAATAAACATAAACATAAATACTAGTAATAAATATAATAACATTCACACTAAAGGCCGAAGTCGATCATATTTGTCAAGATATGCTAATGCAATCTCTTCGGCATCATTCTCCCCCGGGTGGAGAGGATTCGCCCTCGAATCCGCAATCTCGTCAATGTCCTGGACGACCCCGTCGACAAAATCACCTACGTCAAAGACCATCGAACGACCATCCTCCGAGCTGGATAACTCCCTGCACTGCTTGGCGCGAGAAACAAATAAAATCGGAGACGACAATGGCAAAAGACCAGAATTGGATGACGAAGGATGCAGGACTATGCGGACGCACTTAAATAAAAAAAAATTATATGTGTTGAGGCGTCCATCATGTACCACCGAGCGATTGCCAAAGTCGTCCTAATAAAATGTGCCAAGAATCCATAGGCACGACGTCACACCATGTCATGTCATTATAAGAGGATCAAATAGAAAAGGTCACCAACACGCGTCGGGTGACACGAACAGAATCATCATGTTGTATCCACGCAAGAGCATACGGATCCGGATGCGGCTCACTTAACAACCCCAGTTTCGTCACAGCCTCGTTCGAAATCAAATTCTCGCAGGAACCGAAATCATTGACAAAATGGCACACCCGACCACCAATGGTGCATCTGGATTAAAAAAGGTGGTGTCACTGGACCTTATCCTCGAAAGAGAAGTGGGGAGACAAAAGAAACCGACGAAGGACGAGCGCGTGACCACGTCTCCTAAGACATGCATATCCGGAACTTCCGGCTCTTTATCTAAAATTGGAGGACCATCATAAACAGTCGAGTCTGGCTCCTCAACAAACAACGCCCGTGACCCTCTCGCCTTCGGGCACTGGGCCTGGCGATGCCCCGACTCACCACAAGTGAAACAACGCGGACCATTAGACTGCCGATTGCCACTCCCCTCCGTGGGGCCACCCACACGGCCTTCAGAAGGAGCACCCAAATCGAACGGATCCTTCGTCGCAGACGTCGCGGTACCCGAAGTCACAAGAGGCTCCTTTGTAGACGGCGCGAAAGAAGTGCTCACCTTCCGGGCCTGCTGCTGCTCAACCAATAAAGCCCGCAGATGAGCCTCAGAAACGGAAGTCGGTGTAAACATATTCAACACATCCTGAATAGAGACACACAATCCCCCAATATAACGAGAAATCAACTGTTCTTGAGTTTTACGAATATCTACCCAGGCCAAGAGTTTATAAAATTCTTCAGTATAATCATCCACACTACGTTGTCCTTGACGAAGATTTTGCAAATGCTGATATAAAGTACAGACAAAATTAAACGGTAAAAATTCCCGTTCAAGATACTTACAAAATTTCACCCACGAAATGATTTTCGATTTGCCCTGTCGATGTCGTACACCCTGTAACTGTAACCACCAAGCGACAACATGTCCCCGAGTGACTACAAGTGCGACTCGCCTCTCATCCGGGAACGAAAGACAAGGAATTAAATTTCTTCCAAAGCTATGGTACACATTTAAAATCAAGGGCAGCCTCCCCACGGCGGCCAACCAATCAAGAAATTCACTCTGCGTCTAAATCGCCGGCAAAAATTGGAATTTCCACTCGGAAAGCCGATTACCACCGACCCTCGGTAATTAAATCAGCACGCCCATAGGGAGAATAAAATAAATTATCTCTGCTGGCACAATCCCCAATGCGTTGTCCGTTACCAAAATTCGCAAAACGCTGGCCCTCTCCAAAATTCCCAAATCGCCGACCGTCACCTAAAGCTCCTCCCCCGTTCAAATCGGCATCAGCCCCTTCACCCTCAAAATTGGCAGGTCTCCGGTGACCCTGATGCGGGCAACCGCGCAAATCCTCGCCAACAGCCGCTCGGCGGAAATCTCCCACTCCGACGCGCTGAAAATCGCCACCCGCATCACGGCGGAATTCGCCGCCGACAAGGCACCAGACATCGCGATTTACAGCAACACGGCGCGCCGCCATCGGAGGGAAGGCATATGGAAAGCCGGGATCGGAAAACCTTCCGCTGCACAGGGAGGAGACTGGGACAATCGGACCCCCACGGGCCTCCGTTGCGGGTTGCGACAGTCACCATGTCACTCCGGATCAAAACCATCGGCAAAGGGATTGACATCGGACAAAGTATCCTCGCTGTCAACATCGACAAACTCCGGCTGTAGTGGCGGTTGTCGGAGCGCCTCGCCAAAACCACGACCTCCACGACCACCTCTTTGTCTTTGACCTGCGCAACAACCTCTCCCGCCGGCGACCTCCCTGTACGCTTGCTGATCTCGTAACATGGTGGTAAGAGTGGTACGTATATCGTCGATCCCCGTAGTGAGATCGGTCACCCGAGTGTCCATCAATTGGACCCGATCGTCCACATTGAAGACGATCATCAATCTCGACATCTCGTCGTCTCGGCGGCATCAAGAACCGTCCCGAATGCTGATAACAAATGATGCAGCAAAGCCTATGATGGGAGAACAAAGAACACGAAGAAACCGTTTTTCTTTTCTGATTCAATTCATAAAATCATAACTGCCCATACATGATATCATACGTACATATTTATAATCTCACCAAGTCATATCCACTTAAACTTAAAAGCCAACATAATACAAGTCCAACACAATATAAATAAACATAAACATAAATACTAGTAATAAATATAATAACATTCACACTAAAGGTCGAAGTCGATCATATGTGTCTGACATATGCTAATGCAATCTCGTCGGCATCATTTGACAGCAACATTGAGGCCATTGCCGAGCTTTAATGGCTTACCCATGCGATCTTTGTCCTGTCTTACAGAAAACTGATGCAAAAGGCCTCATACAGTTTAGGGATAATTTACAAAAGCTATGAATCAAATAACGTTTGTGATCACACACTCTCACACACAACCGTTGATACCTGTACCCGTTGCGTATTAACACTGAGAGAACCCGAACCAATAATAACTACTCATTTCTCCAGCACTAAAGTTGAAAACAAGATATGCATTTTCAAATGATGTAAATCAATTGGCTACACAATCTTTCTTGTATCTGAATTAGTATTAAAAACTTCAAATGATGGAAAAAATCACCTCTTGCATTGCCAAATTTAACCTGGCAAAATATGTATGTCTTCTTTGGCACAAACCACATAAAGTAATAATGTACATGAGAAATACAGGAGTTCACGATTTAACTGGTTGTGTGTGAAAAGGATAGCCCTCAGTAAGACCAAATTTCACCCGAAACTAATAACCCCTATTCTTCTTACTCTGATTTAACTGGTTCATCATCAACATTTCTGTGCCAACTCCAATACGCATGAGTTAAGTTCACGATTCTGAGCTCAGCATGGCCAAAGCTAGCCTCCTGGAAGACTGACCACTCAGGCTGTGACTTCTTGTATCTGTCAAATAGTCCCAATGCTTAATTCAAGATGAGCCAATCATCATTTTATTATATGATTAATCGCAGAGGATCCAATACAAAGAATGGTGCCACATGAGAGGATGTCGAAGGACAAAAGCCTTCTATTCCAACTCATACAATTATCGGCTCAATTTAGTTTATAGCTCATATTATTCTTAAAATGTCTCTGGATTCCTCGTGATACTTGTTAGTACCAAGGAAAGATCTTACCTGGGTGCTAATCCTTCTATGTTCCCTACATCGCCAATCGCAATGTGGGCAGCTCCACAAGGATCTGATCTACCGTTAAAAACGCAGTTGTATTGGAGAAAACATAAAGAAAACTAAATAAGTTCAGTGCTCATAGGAACAAAGACTAGAATACAGAAGAAACATACCGAGCACTCATCAGCATGCACATGGGCAGCAAACTCAACATCCAAAACCTAAGAATCACACAAAAGAATACACAGGTATTAGTTTATCAAGTCACACATGAAAAAGGAGAACGTACAGATGAATCCAAGTAAAATGGCTGTCAGACTACAATGCACAACAATATAAATCTCACCTTGGCATCAGGATACTGTAAGAGATTTGTTAACAACGGTACAGCTCCAATAACGAAATCAGCAGCTCTGAAGGTAGTTTCTTGCACATATTTGCAGCAGTTGCCAAGGCCACTCTCTAATAGACCATTAAGTGAAATTAAATTCTCTAAAATGCTACGTGAGAAGACTTCCTTATGGCTAAGTGAGCAATTCAAAGATGGAGATTAAATTATAATATCCAGTTTTACACACCTGGAAACCAGTGGGAAAGAAGTCCATGAAAGAAAGCACCCCAAAAGGAGAAGAATTATCATATACATAACAGCAGAAGTACAAAGTTCTTTTAATGATAAATATAAACCTCCAGACCTGAAGAGTAAAGGCCCCAATGAAATCGGATCTGTTGTAGTGACACGTCAATTAAAGAATAATACTCATCTTCACAAATTACATAGATCCATTATCTCCTCATAGATGCTTTTGTAAAGTAGCAAAGTGATACCATCAAGAATGAACAAGCTTTAGTTCAGATCACAAAGGAGTGGACTTATCCATCAGAAGTCGACAACATAAATTAATAGTGAATATAGCCAGCAAATAAAAATCCATTTGACATTTTGACTTGATTTTCCACAAGTACAATGAGAACAAAATGAGAATGGACAAACCTAATCAAATCAGAAAGCATTGAAATCCTTATAATGTAAGCGAGGGTAAAGTCATGCTCTGAAGAAATTGGAGAATCTCATTCTTAAAGTTCAGTTTCTTCCATCTTTGATCGCGAGCTTATCCCCTTCTCTCCATTCTGGTACTTGTCTGACTAGAAGTGCCAAATTGAGCCTCCACACTACTTGGATCAAACAAAAACAACAAATCTTGTTTCATAAAGATTAGACGTATGGAAAGTTTAATTCTATATTGGTAAAATGAAGTTCATCAGTTCTCTTACTTGGAAGCTTAAGTCATTTCCAGACCATTGATTAGATACAGTAAAAGCATTTGATTTCAGATTCACATGGCTAGAGTTTTCATATTCACAACTGTGATATCCCCTCCTTGAACTGGCATGAAAAGAAGATTGATCCTGTCTATCATCCTCACTTGAAGTGTCGAAATCCAACTAATCTTTGTTGTGTCCAGGGTGGAATTTAGATTGAACTTGCATGAATATCTGAACTGCATAAAGCTTTTTTTAACACTTAAATAAAAGGAATTTACTTGTAAAAATGGTGCAATATTGGAAGTGTCGACTTGATCATTGTGGCTGACACCTGAAAATCATATTACATTACAGATACTGTAATGGTCAATAAGCAATTATTCAAAAAAAAAGACGGGCAAACGAGCCGTACATAGCTCGGGCTGCCTCATCGTAGGCATAAGCAGCTTCGGGTGCCTGTACCTGCTGCTATGCCTTCCTTACCTTACTACCTGCTTTCGTTACTGTTGATTCTTCCTTTCGGGTAGGCTTGCTAGCAGGTTAGGAGTTAGACAAAAGGTAGCAGACCTGAGATCCGTCTTCGGCTCGTTCGCCTTAAAGTTATTCTTACTAACAATAATAATAATAACAAGGTAAAATAAATTAGAAAGTACCATTGCAGAATACCCAGATAGGTGCGGCGCATAAATCCTCAGCAAGCTGCAGAAAAAGTGATCCAAAAAAGGGACAAAGAACAATGAATTAACAAAAATCTATGAAAGATATTACGGATTCCAGTTAAATTAATGCCAGTAAAATTATTTTTCTGATAATGTTTGGCATTAAAAAATCAGTGAAAAAAGCAAAAATAAGAATAATTCTTTTCAGTAAAATTATACCTGGAGAAACTCCAGATGACCAAATCCATCATCAGTCCAATAATGCCAAACATCAACAAAATGGCCCGGCCTTTCTTCCCATGGGCCGATAGTTTTTTCCCATCTGAATGCATTCCTTAACCATTCACCTTCAACAAAGCAACCACCTGACAATATCATGAATTTCAAGCACATTAAACCTCCAATATAACTCCCGTAGAAAGTTAAATGAGAATAATATATAAACCAGTATAGTATAGTCTCACTGGCCAACATCAGGATCAATTGAGGGGTATTTCACTATTTTGATATACAGTACGAGTAAAAAGAGATTGTGCAGCATCATTCTTGAAGAGCTATAATATCCATGACTCATGCATGAGCTTTATTCATTCCTTTTTCTTTTTTCTTACTGTAAAGGGGATCTCTGACATTAGTCTCACACATTTAGTATAAATGTAAGAGTTCCTTCTTCCTCATTATATGTAGAGCTTGATATAATATCATATTACATAGTCTCACACATTTAGTATAAATGTAAGAGTTCCTTCTTCCTCATTATATGTAGAGCTTGATATAATATCATATTACATAGTCTGCAGTTTGAAAATGAAACATAAGGAAAAGCTAATATATTTGCAAGTGGTACCTGGAAATCTAATAAATCCTGGGTTTAAATCTTTCAACATCTTGAAAAGATCTTGGCGAAAACTGTGTCCCTGTTGTCAAGAGGAACAGTATTTGATTATAGCTTATGGTGAAGACATAATGTCATTGCTATAAAAGCAGCATTATGGTAAAATTTGCACATTTTAGCTTTTCACTTCAGTTTGGAATGAAGGTAGTCATCAGGTATATTCTCAAAACGATTCTGTTTGGAGCAACATAGTATCACGAAATGTCTAAATTCATAGAAGATCTATCGTTCAAGTAAAATCAATAGGAATCGAGTAACAGTTATTAAAATTCAGACAAAATCTTTTACCTTGTATGTGTCTGTGGCATCAGAGATGTATTTCACCAACCACCACTTGCAATCATTCTCCAAAGGTGGAAGCCTATTGTTTTTTGCACTATTGCTAGTTGTTGGGCCCACTTCGAGGCTTGATGCCAAATCTAGTGTTTTGTGAGAAGCGGATGGGTCCTGTAAGTCACCCTGCCAAAAGGCCATAAGGCTAGCTAAATGTTAGCTAAATAATCTTTTGGATAAATAAATATTTGACTAGCTATAATGAAAGATGATTGGTTATTTATGCATGTATTTTTTTCACATTAAAATGCCAAGGCCATATGTATCATCGTCATATGCATTGGTGAGAATTGTAGAGAAATATGGCCTTTGGTGTACAGTTGTAATTTGAAACTACAATATTACTATATATAGTATTTTCTATTCAAATTTCTCAGTAGTTGTGCATGGAAATAACCATCAGAGTATGTTGTGTCCAGCACCAAATCAAGAACCCAATTAAACACGACTTTATAAACATAACTTAACACAGATCACAAGATTCCCAGACATGAAAATAATTATATAATTTAAGGATCGTTCAATCATAAAATCATTGAAATCAGACTCCTAAAATGAAATGTCACCCATAAACATCTAACACATCCGGTATACCAGCCAGAAACATCACGAAAAAATCTTGTTTGAGGACCAGTAATATTACTATACGTTAGTGAAACCTTGGTATTCAATCGAGTCAGAAATGAGGTATGTGTTTTAATGCCACCTCGAGACAGTAGGAATAAGTAAGCAGGGTCATGGTAAGTTATATAACCGCCATCAATCAAACAGCTCAAACTGACGGTCCATACTCCCAACAAGATCTATATAACAACTTCTCCTAAATCCTATATGATGACCACTGTTGTGATTAACAATCAAAATCACCCAAATCAAAAGGAGAAAAAGAAAATACCCCACACAATAATCATAATCCAAACACAAAATACAGCCCAACCCCACCACAGAAAACCTCCCATAAATTCCATTGTCCATCAAGCAAAAAACACACGCAAAATATAAATCCAGAAAACCCACAGGAATGCAAACCTTAACCGGATGAAGATACACTTGGCCAGTTTCATTTTGATCCTCTGATCGTATTTCTCTTGAAGATTGGACTTTAAGGTTCTCAACGGGTATGCTTTCTTCCTTGCTAACCAAATGAGGGAGTAGGTCCCCGGATCAGTCGAGCTCGTTCCACTAACATCTGAAGATGCTTTAACGAGCCTCTGTTATTGAGGACAAAAGGTGGTCGGATTTTGGTCCCGACATAGGCTTTTTTCGGGTACAATGAAATTGACTTGTGGCATAACCTAAAAACTGATGACAAAAGAGAATTCTAAAAGTTTACATCCCCAACTAAAATAAGTAGCTACATAGAAGGCTTTAATGACAAATAGATCTACTTATGAAAACTACTTATGACAGTTAACCAAAACACAAGAAAAGCAAAACATGGAAAACCCAGAATTTCTAATATCGCTAAACTCGCCTTTGGTTTTTGTATTTGTTTTTACAACCTTACGCCCTACATAGACATTTTGTAAAACATAGCATCAGTTTTTGTAATCAAGGTTATATCTGCAACTCATATAATGTGTCATTCCCCTATAAATGTCAGAATGCATATCTAAGTACCAAAAAATCAGAACCTTAGCTCCTCATCCCCATAATATGCGGACTTCTTAAACTATTCACTCCATCATACAAAACCTTTTACAAATTTATTTGCTTGCAACTGATATCTTCTAAAATGTGAGATGCAACAATCAAACAATGCATTCACAAATCAAATGCCGAGCACATGTTTGACAATACACGCCAACAAACACCCCTGGATAGTAGATGGGCTCCAAGAAGATAGATTAAAACAGCATAATATACTATTATACCCCACATGTCCACATTGTACAGAAAAAAACTGATTAGTTTAAGCCAATATCTACACAAAGTTCAAGGTTGCAGAACATGACACATAGCAAACGCAGAGAGTAATTGCTGTGAATACCAACAAATCGAGCCCCATCACCAAAACCTTTCACTTTAAGACATCGCCCCACACAGACTCAGTGGCACAGGACGAGACGAACAAGGAGAAGTCATAAGCTCAACACTCCAATCATGAACAAACACATGCACACACACCCAAGAAAAAACAAGAAGTACAAATCAAAGCAGATACATATTAACAATCAGGAACATGTAACTCAAACCAATACTCATAATCATCACGACATAAAAATCCAAAAGAAAATCAGGCACTTTCTTTGGAGATTTTAATAGAGACATGATTTAATAGACAAACAAATAAATATTTTATTAAAATATTTTTTGGAAGATTTTAAAAGATACATGATTTAAACAAAACATAAAAACTCTTCTCGCACGCTAATGGCAATCCTTCTACAGAGAGGACAAATGTTTTTCCTTCGGAGCCACCTCTTGAGACAGCAAGCGTGAAACTTATGCCCACACCCATCCACTATTGCAACCTGCATATCCTTTCCACAAAAATTGTCTAGACAAATAGCGCACACAGTTTTTTCATCAACGATATTATTATTCGTAATGATCTTGAGGTATTTCGAAATTTTATCCTCTTGCAGACCGTCATATCGGCGACGTCGTAAGCGGGAGCCTAAGCTGAGTATTGCTGAGACATTTATGCCTGCGAAGTCGGCCTCAGTCAGTACGTGTCTTGTATGTATTCGAGGCATCCGTACCACAATTGCTCCAGGCAGTAAAGGTTCCAATCGTCCAATTGAGCTAAAGCTCGAGTCAGCCATTCCCATCAGTTGAGACCCTGTGGGCTCGATTGGGCCCGATAAGTTGGTCAAGCTGGCTTGTGTTGAAGCACGAGATGTTCCCGTTTCAAGTGAAGGAATTTGGATATGAGGTTCAAATTCAATCTGTCCTAACAAGCTAGAGCCCAAGTTGATCATCATATCAAAGTCGGCAGCCGTCAAAACACGAGAAGGTACCGTTTGAAGTGGAGGCGTTTGGATTGCAGTGGGTTCGTGATGTTGAAACCCTGATTGTCCGGAAGAGCTAGAGTCCGAGTTGTTCATCGCCGTTTCCTGAGGTTGTTCTTCGAATAGTCCCAACGAGCTAGTGTCCCAGTTGATCATCATGTCAAGATCTTCCTCCGTCAAATCCATTGTTATTTTCTAATGCCCTACTCTGCAGATATTCGATTGCCTCAACTTATGCACGCAAATCCAATAATAATAGCAACGAGAATCATCGAATTTGTTCATCAAGGGATTCTAATTTTATGAAAGAAAAATAAGAAACGTCTCTTACCAACCCAGCAGTTAAATCTAAGCCCTTGGATTAAATATAATTTAACATACATCTAAGGGTTAAAAATAAGGAATAACTTGTCTGTATTCTTTTGTGTGTATGTGTCGTGTCATTCAAGGGTTAAAAATAGAAAATAACCTTTCAAACCCATTCTCTTCGGTCATCACCTCACGAAATTCAAGAGCACAATTAATTTATTCTAATTGGAAACTTAAAATATTATTCCATCCAAACCTCAAGAATTATTTTACCTGTTTTTAAGAGTTTTTTTAGACCACTAAATTTCACTACCCTGGTTAAAATTTAAGCGTTTATTAATGAAGATCAAGGTTAGGAACTTAGGTGTATATATGGATAATTAGTACAATACACACATGGGCGAATTTACATTCATCACTAGGGGCCAATTGCCCCCTCAAATTTTAATATTTTTTATTATTATAACTAAAAATTTTAATTTGTCCTCCTCTTAAATTATTTTTTGCATCCTCACATTTTTTGTTTTTAAACGTCACTCACAAGTAGTGATGTAAACGAACAGAGCTTGGGCTGTTCGAGCTCGTGTTTGTTTACGTTCGAACAGTGTTTCTGTTCGTTCGTTTATTTTTCGAGCAAAAAGTCGTGCTCGAGTTCGTTCGTTTAATTGTTCGTCAAGGTTCGAGTTCGTTCATGTTCTAATAATATTATACATAAGCTTTTTAAATGTGTTTGAATTAACTCGAAATTTGTTCGTTCGAACTCATTCGAACTTAAAAATAAAAGAATAAAATGAAAATATTAATATATTTAGATTTTTATTTACAAATATTACGTAGATATATGAAAAATAAATAAAAAGTATATTAAATTTTAGATTTTATTTATTAGAAATATTATGTAAATATATAAAAAATAAAATAAACTTATATTAAATTAATGTTTGCTAACATAATCGAACGTTCACGAACGAGTTCGTGTTCGTTTGATTATTAAACGAGCCTAATTTTCTGTTCGAATTCGGCTCGATTAACAAACGAACGAGCTTTTGTAGAACTCGAACGAACTCGAACGAGCTTTTGTTCGCGAACGTTCGGTTCGTTTGCAGCTCTACTCACAAGGCCAACAATTGTAATTACATGTCTTTTGCCCCTTCTTAACTAATTTTCCGGTTTCGCCCCTGAATACACATTACACGAGTGTTTGTTAAAAAAATTTATTCTTAAATTTTAAATTAATGAGAAAAAGTATTTTAAATTTAAATAGTTTTTTATAATAAAATATATATTATTATATATTTTAGACTGAGACTTGTTACTTGTGTGACTTATATGTGTTATATTATAGTAATTTTCTAACTTATATCATATAACTACTGGAAATATAAACATATTAATTGATAAATAGTTTTATTTTTTTAATTTTTAATTATTTTTTAATATTTATAAAATAAAAATATAAAATAAATATGTAATATGCCCCTTATATTAATTTATTCAAAATATTATATAAAATTTAAATTGTGCAAAATTACATAACATAGGTCTATTTAAAATTAGTACACAACTCGTACGGTGTACATAATTGATTATAAATTGCATTATATTTATTTCAAATAAGTGTCATTTTAAAACTTTTATTCAGAAATTCAATTTGATAATACAATGTGGTTCCACAAAAAAAAATGGTAAAATTTATCATATATTTAAAAATCTATGTGAATAATATGTATAATACTAAAACTTATATTTTTCAATAATTAAAATAAATTTATTTTTCCTAATCAAAATAATTTAATAATTGAGAAACTATAAATAATAAAATATTTTATTTACGTCCAACTTAATATTGACCAGTAAATTATGAATAATTACTTATTTGTCTTTTAAATTTAAAAACTAAAATTGGACTACACAATAAAATTCCTTATATATTTTATATAAATCTACATTTTACTAATCTTACCGTTCAAATTTATCAATTAATTCTCTAGAATTAAATTATAGATTTTATTAAGAAATATTTATTCAAAGTTTTAAATTTTAAAAGGAATACATACCAATTAATTAAATTATCATCAATATCTTATGGAAAGTTATTATATAAATATGCTAAAATTTGATAATCATATCACCTTAATTTTATAACAAATCAACCTATAATTCGACTTTCATATCCCCACCAAATAAAATTTATACCACTTATTTATGTTTCAAAATTTTCAAATACACTTCTATCCATACCAAATGAAATTCATACCATTTAAATTCGAACGTTTCATACCAAAATAATATCTCCCTCATTTTATTACATGCAATTATTTTGAAATTTTTAACAAACAAATTTTATACTTTAATAGCTTACGCAACACGAATTTCTATTTACGCTACGTAGTATAGGAACCAAAACGCGACGAATTACATTATAATTATTGTAAAACACTAAAAGGAATACAATTTCAATATGAATGACAGTTAGAACGAGATTACATTATTTATGGAGAAATCTCGTATGTCTTTTAAAAGAAAAAAAAAAATTTGTGATCGGATATTAACCAATTTAATGCGTGATATATCATGTTTATCTATATGAATTTTGTACTATCAAAATTCATAATTTTATATTTTTTGTTAAATTCAAAAAATTATATTTGAAAAAAATAAACATTAATTGTATATTTTAAACTGTCTTTAAATTGATGTGTTTTAAATAATGTGTTAAAATTAATTAATGGAAATAATTGTATACATCCTCAATATTTTTTATTAATATTTATTTAAAACATATTTATTAATTATATAATAAAATAAATATAATATTGATATGGGATATTATACACCTAAGGAATAAACTAATCCATTAAGCTGGTCGTACGAGCCTAATATCGGGGAAACCACGTTGGTCGAGCAATGATAGACTGGAAGGAAGTGGTCGAGCATGGTAACAGATCTGGTTGATGATCGACCTAAAGAACAGAAGCTCAATCAGATCGAGCACCCAACGAGTGAAGGGCAATCGTGGAGCGTGATGTGAACGCGAGAAAGCGCGTGGATTTCGTCAGAAAATCCCAAAGGAATATTCAGAGGAATAATTACCCTCTGCTCAGAGGGGCACGTGGCGAGAAGATATTGGTGCAGAGCGATGGTGGCGATAACCACCTCTGACACACACACACTGCGTGTGTACGGACGGGTAGATCCGGGCAGACAGCTCATCAAATCCGGGCAGCTCCTAGGGCAGGTATCTCACTCCTATATATATGGGAGTGAGGCCTTCTTATTGTTTACGATTGATGCACTCTATACTTTGAAGAATTGAGTGAGATATATATTGACTTAAGCATCGGAGGCTCTTCACCGAAAAACCCCCCCGGTGTGAGAGTTCTTTGCAGATACGCGGCATTCTACCGGTGAGGAGGAGGAAGACGAGCCAATTTCAAGCCGGTCAGAGTGTTTTTCGTAACCATTTGGCGTCGTCTGTGGGACTTTCGTTCGAAAAGTGGTGTGCTGAGATTACTGAAGCTTGGTAGCTATGGCGGACGGAATTCCTAGGAGAGATTTGCAAGCGTCGTTCGATGAGGCGTGGACGACAACAAGGCCGTTTGGAGAAGGCCCTCCTCCGGGCTTCTCTAGAACCTTGCATACACCGGTGACTCCGATGCCTATTCCACAAGGTGTGGGGGTCATGCCGGTGCATCCCGAAGCTGATGTGGGCTCAAGCCGAGCTCAAGAGGTCTGTACGACTCGGGGAACGGCGATCCCAACGCCGTTACAGCCAGATCTAGCCGTGGCGCCGCAGCAAGGAGCGGTGGTGCATGGAGTAGCTCCACCGCGAGTGGAGGAGCAGCGCCTCGGCCAGCAGGCGGTAATGACTAGGCAGGAGATGCAGCAGATGATGGCGAACGCAACGGCACAAGCGGTCCAGCAGGTCATCCAAAGCCTTTCTCGAGTGGCTGCTGGACCAACGATTGTTGAGGAGGATGTGTCTAGCTATGGGGGAGATGGAGCTCCACGAGATCGGGAGGTGGAAAGACTTGCAGAGCAGGTGAGACAGATGCAGGCCAAGATGGATGGTAGACCGGAGAGGTGTGCTCGAGGACACCCGTTCTTTAGGGAAATATTGGCTGCACCACTACCCGCAAATATCAGGGACATGAGTTTGGTGTTCGATGGGACTTCTGACCCGTCGAGGCATGTAAGGGCGTTTGAGAACTTGGTTGTGTTACATGGTTATTCTGATTCTGTTAGTCACAGGGCATTTCTGTCGACCTTGAGAGGAGGCGCACTCGACTGGTTTCAGCAGCTCCCTCATGGATCGATAGCGGATTTCGATGATTTTACGGAGAAGCTGTGTAACACCCCGCTCATCAGAGTAAATATTTTGCAACTCTTACTTCGAAAATACGTATAACTCTTTCGAAATATTTTGCGACTAACTCGAGATGCTACTCAAACTCATCTTCTTAAAACTTTAAACTTTTTGTTTAATACTTCTCTAGACATAAAGAAAACAGATTTCCTTTAAACTTACATTTAACTGTACCATATTCATACTTCACGAAATGGTATAAACTTGAAATCTGAAATTTATTGAAAATGCAAGTTCAATACTTAATGTGCATAGCTGAAATACTTAAAAACGTGGTTAATTATACAGACTGTTATAAATTTCCATATCAAAGCTTGTCACATTTTAAGTCCACGATCCACACCAACGCTGCTCCACTCACACCTCCTCCTCAACCTGTTACCTGAAAATAAACTTATGGGGATGAGTAACGAATAAAGATAATCATAAACTGATATCTGATCGGTAACCAGAAATCTGTTCTGGTACTAAAACTTAAACTTTTCTCTTCTCTTCCGATATCTGATCGGAT